TATTACAAGTAATCAAAATGTGAACTTTAGAAGTCAAAAGTCACATTTTGGAGGTATGTGATGTCTTTCAAAGGCATGCATATGAAACAAGATAAGGGAAAAGCAGTGGAGGATTGGCCAACTTCCAATGATGCTTTTGAAGTTCGTTCATTTTTATGCCTTCTTGGATACTACTACCGTTTTGTTTGGTAATTTGCTCACATTGCTGATTCATTGATAAACCTATTAAAGAAAGATGCCCCATTTGAATGGAAGCTGGAGCAATAAATTATCTTTGATAAATTGAAGGAGGCACTTATTACTACTCCATTATTGCAACCGTATGATCCTTATCTTCCTTATACACTTGACATTGATGCTTTTAACTTTGCTATTGGAGCAGTCCTTCAACAAGACTTTAGTGAGGACCTTCAACTTGTGACATATGAATCACGTAAGCTTATAAGGGCAAAGTATAATTATTCTACACATTATCATGTCAAGAGTTTGATTTGGGTAGATGCAAGGTCCTTCTTTGCATTCAAGTTGGATCCAATATGCACAAAATCTTCTTAAATTCTCTTTTGAGTATTTATAAAATTATAATTGTAATAAATCAACAGACTTGAAGCTTAAAAATTCATATCCTAAGATCTAACTATTCAAATAAGCTCAAAATTTGGAAGTAAAAAACTTACATCTTTAATCATTATCACACAAATTTTCAACTGCAAATTTATTATCAATCGTCTGATATCACCAAATCCTTAACAGGTACTTTTAAAAGTCAAATCCAAAATGGAAACTTGAAAATTCATATCCGAAGATCCAACTATTTAAATAAGCTCAAAATTTGGAAGTATATAACTTACATCTTTGACCATTATTACAAAAAAATTCAGCTACAAATTCATTGCCAATCAATTTATATCACCAAATTCTTATCAGGTTCTTTTGAAAGTCAAAACCCTAGACACATGAGAACAAATTTTATTATTTCTCTCAAGTCAAAGTTTCAATTGATATGAGATTTTAGACATAGGCTCTTTATATTATAAGTGATATGTATACAAAAAATAAGCTTCAAATTCATCTTAAAGCTCAAGTTCTAGCTTAAAACCAAAACCCTCTATTTCTCTAATTTCTTCAAAATCCTAGTTTTAGTTTATTGGTTTTAATCAGCCATATTTCACTCATTCTAGACTCAATTCTATTGATCCTTGGATATAAAATATTCAAATTGAAGTTTAATTTCTAATCCGACTCCTTGATTTCTTGCTAGTATCTTAAAACTCCTAATATGTATGGAAAAAAGACAATTGGTATCAAATTAGTAGCCTAAGTTTAAACAAGCATATCTCTCTCATCCAAGCTCCAATTCTTACATTTTTCTACCTAAATTTATGCCAAGAAGCTCTTCTCTGTGAATACTTCTTCTCCACCTACCAAAAAAAAATCCTCTTTCTTGCTTCCAAGCTCGCCAAAGAAATCATAGCCAAGGTCTTCAAAGTCTAAATCAAAAAATAATAGTTTAAAATAAATAAATAAACACCAAATCTAATCCTTCAAGTTATCACTATTAATGGCAGCCAACTAATGCTATCCAAATTTCCATTTATTCATAATAAAACCTAAATACAACCTCAAAGTCAAAATTATTCTTACATCTACAAATATAACTTTGAATCTACTAAAACCAAAGATTAGAAAGGAAGTAAAAAGAATAAAAGAAGTTTTCAAGGCTAAACCAAAGATAAAGTTAAGATTAAAGATAAAATAAAATTTAGCCAAAATTTCAAAAAAGAAAAAAAAAAAAAAAAAAAAAAGTGAAAATACTTCTCCAAAATAATAATAATAATAATAATAATAATAATAATAATAATAATAAATAAATAAAAAAAATAAAATAAAAAAAAAAACTAGATTGGTAATAAGAAAAAAGAACTTAATAAAAGTTCAAAGAAAAATAAGTCAAATAAGATTTTCATATATGAATGTATTTATATCATGACAATGTGAATGAAGGCAATTAGTAATTGTATATACCACAAAGGTGCGACGTCACTATCTATTGGAAAAGCCAGGGGTTGTTCGGACTACCATTGATCCAAGCTACATGATTTATATCTGAAAAATATGAAATTGTAGGATCATTGTTGAGAAGAACAATTGTAGTTTTTTGATATCCTGCTTGAATACAAGCAAGGGCGACAATATATTATACCAAATAGCTTATTGTAGAGATGATACTTGAAAGATAAATTGGGAGATAAGGTAGAAGTCACTACCATTAGTAGTGTTATTTCAGATCTAATCAAAGAAACAAAATGAAAAGAAGCTATGTATTGGGATTCTTATTTTAAGATGGTTAGCAATTGGCTAAAGGTGGGTAATATACAATATTAGAATTATATTTTTAGTGATGGTTTGGTCTATTTCAAGAAGAAAATTTATATACCTAACAATGGTAAACTTTGGATGTGCATACTTCAGAAAGGACATGAGATTCCAATATTTGGACATTTGGGATAAGAGAAGACTCTAGAACGGATCTCAAAGATATGGTTTTGAGTTAGTTTGGATCATGATATTTGAGCCTTTGTACTTTTGTGCAAGTCATGTCAACATAATAAAATATGCAATGTAACATCTCTTAGACTATTGCAGCCAATTTTCCTACCTACGATACATTAGGAACACGTGACTATAGATCTCATTACATGTTTATCACAGATGCCTCATAATCATACTGCAATTGTCATCTTTGTGGATCAACTCTCGAAGCAACTTCACTTGGCCATGATGTGCTCAGATATTAATACTCCAATACTTGCATGAGTCTTTTTTGATACCATCTTTCGTTACCAAGGATTATCTTGTGTCATTGTTTCAAATCAAGATCTATATTTCATGGGAAGTTTTTGGCAAATCTTATTCAAGCTATTAGGCATACAACCTACCATGTTTACAGCTTTCCATTCCCAAACAGATGGGCAAATAGAGCATACAAATTGGACCTTGAAAAATATGTTGCGAGCATTTGAAGTGGTTCATTATAATGATTGAGATGAATATTTGACGTCCTTGGAGTTTGCTTATAATGATAGTATTCAAACAAGTATCAGTCATTCACCATTTTTCTTTAATATTAGTTGACATTCAATTATGCAAGCAACTCTCCATTGTCCTATTGACACCAACTTAATAACGGAGGAATTTATACAACGGCTTACAACAGCCTTACAAAAAGCATGTTTTGCTTCTTTATTGTACAAAATGAACAAAATCAGTATGCGGATAACCATCAGCAACACAAGACCTTCTAAGAGGGTAATCAGGTATTACTCTCCAATGCCAACTTGCCACTTGCTACATCAACCCAAATTCGTAAACTAGCACCTCAGTAGCTTAGATCTTTCTACATTTTTGTAGTGATTTCTGATGTCGCATATTACCTCAAGCTTCCACTACATATTCAAGTCCATCCAGTTTTCCATGTTTTGTAACTGAAGGAATTTCATACTAAGCCAAAGCGCTTTTTGAATTGACACCAACCATCACCACCACCAATTGTAGTTTATGACCAACAAAAATATGAAGTGGATAGTATTTTGGAACATCACTACTTTTGTTGTGGCAGTGGATGTTCACAACTTTAGTACAGAGTTCTTTGGAAAGGTTATTCCATTCATGATGCAATGTGGAAACCTATACAAAACCTCACCCATTGCTAAGAGACAATTCGGAGATACCATTGGGAGTGAAACGAGGACGTTCCACATTAATGGAGGAAGATTAATTATAACAGGATATAGATAAGATAATTGTTCAGATAGTTAAAACCATAGAAGTTTTTAGAATTGAGATTAAGTTAGTAGACCAAGTAGGATCCACCATGGAACAATTTAAATAGATTTTAGGACAATTATCTAGACAAGGTTCACCATAAAACCTTCTAGAAAAAGAATTTAAGGCAATTATGTAGGTAGAGCCCGCCATCTAAGAACATTCTAGAAAGTCTAGGACGATAGGACAAAGTATAAATAGGGCTCGCTAGGATCTTTTGGGGTATCTAATCATGTATGACTTTGAACCCTTTTTCTTAGTAAAATTTGGACTTTTTTTGTTTAGTTTTATTTTATTCTATTTTCGTTTGCTCAATTTTGTCTTTCATGTCCTATTCTGTTTAGTATGTTCAGTTTTATTCTAGTTTATTTTGTCCTATTTTTTGATGAAGCTTTATGTTAGTAAGGATTAGAAGGATCTTTGATTTTTGAGATAGTCTAATCTTGTTTAAATTAGGATTGAAAGCTTTTGACAAATAGTAAAGTAGGAGTGTTAAAATAAATAAATAAAAGTAAAAGTAGAATAATTTATCTTATAGAGGATATTAAATAAGTTGTTAATAGTCAAAAGGTTGGCTCTTTGATGTAAAAAAACCAAGAAACAAGATAGATGAATGGGTAAAGGATCTTAAGGATATAAAGGATATGTTAAAGGCATATTTTCATAGTAGATAAGATATCAATAGATAGTCTTAGTAGAATGTTGGATGGATGTATTCATCAAATGATGGAAATTATCTATTAAGGCAACAGCCACAACCTTTAAGTAATAGGTAATGGAAGTGAAAATTATTTTTTTCCATATTCTTTTTGTATGCAACCTTGTTGATGCTATATATTGTGACTTCAAAGTTCTATTTCTTCAATACAACATGCCATAGCATTATGTATGAACATTTGTAACCTCACCTTGTTAATCCTAACTCTTTGGCTATTCCTTTTTGTGATTTCATTTTGGGAAATTCCTTTTTATGATCTCATTTAAGGAAATCTATGCTGCTTGTTGTCTAATCTCAGCTGAAGAGCCTGAAATCCGCCTTTTTGCATGTATAGCCAGGATTTCAAGAGTACCTCTTATTCTATTCTCTCATATGCTTGCAGATGTGAATCATATGCTTACATGTGCAATTGATAACGTTCATCCATGTTTTATAATTGATTAATGATTTAGCCCGCTGCCTGAGTAATCCACAAAGTTTGGTCTGGATGATGAATCCCGACAATAGAAGAGCGAACCGACGAATGAAGTTATCAAAGCTTCGCAATGACGCCCCCAGTTTCGAATACCACGGGTGCTGTTGTTGAATCCCAACAAATTTTCCAAGAATTTGGTCTTTGCCTCGTGCTTCAGCAATGTTTGTCACTACATCTTGTGAGCAGGACGGTGAAGAAATTTGGGTCAGTTGATGATTTGCTAGCACAACGTCTGAGATCAGAAACCAGCGTTTCAATGCCCCAGTGATGGCTGGAATCTCCAAGTTAGCCATGGAGTTGTCGTATGCGGTTGTGGAGACGCCGATAGGGTCTTTCACATTGGGAGCATCTGAATCTGCTATTCACGAGGCGTTTTTCGGGAAACCCTCTGTCGGTGTGAGCCTCGCCTCGCACGTCGAGCATCCCATCCTGTCCATGGTGCATTTTCCCTCACCTTTACTCTCATTCATGGAGCTCAAGTCTCGTCCCTTCATATCCTTCTCCAGGAGCCTTGTGTAGTTGCACTTGGGTGACCTTTTTCTGGGTGATCCCAGTGTGTTTTACTGGACAAAATCCTGGTCGCGATTCTTTTGGAGAGAAAGTAGACTTACACTGTCACTTGGATTGCTTTACTTATGTAATTTTCTAAGTTCTTTGTGACGCCGTAATTGAAAATCCCTATCACACGTAGGATGATGCATTCCAATTATTCTACGGTGATCCATGCAAAGTTGCAGCTATTAGGTTGAATGTATCATGGTTACTTGACATTGGCTCTTTTTTAATCTCTGCGGTGAGTTCCTCTAGCCTGACGTTATTGTTGAGTGGACAAGCAGGCTAGTGAGCAAGTGGAGCAGTACTTTGCTGGGAAGAGAATCTCATTCTCCCTGCCAATTGCAGCGCAGGGTACTCCGTTTCAAAGAAAGGCTTGGGAAGCGTTGCATAAAATCCCGTATGGTAAGGCTATCACCTACTCGGAACAGGCCGATCTCATGGGTGAGCCTGGGAAGGCTCGAGCTGTGGGCATGGCGAATGGCCGGAATCCTGTTTGCCTTCTTGTTCCATGTCACCGAGTTGTAGGCAAGGACGGGAACCTTAGAGGTTACGCCTTCGGACTCGACATCAAGAAAAGCTTGCTCGACTTCGAGGCACGGCTGTCCAAGGGTACTCTGCTGTGTTGAAAGACCGCAGGATATCTCGTTGTGGCTTTCTGACCATCTAGAAGGCGATGATGTCTCTAATGCCTTTCGGAGAAGCAAGAATATGATCACAGTCTGCTTATATTTAGACGCACATTTGTATAATTTTGTATCAAACAGCATTTAAACAGCAACTGAAAGCCGAGGTATTCAGTGAGCGCCAGCTATTCGACTTAGCATATTGAACACTACATTAAATTTAACAATACGTACAAAGTTTGGCGAGATGGATGCGCTGCATGCCATCTCGAAACTATGCGCCACATGTCATTAACCATGCAACGACTCAAGTTGTTGCCGCTGCTAAACAACTACGTTATAAAACAACTCAGAACGTGGTCGTTACGTTGGCGAAGAGAGACTTGAAGTCGGTGGTGGGCGTTCCTTGTCCTTCAGATTTGGATGCAGCATCGAAAGCCTTGTTCTTGGACTCCTCGTTCAACAAAGCCTGGATGCAGAGCTCCGCAACATCACTTCGAGTGATAGCTTTCGTATCGGTGTTCAGAAGTTCATCATCCTTGCCAATGAGGAGTTCGCGTATGCCACCATCCTTATCTTGCAACCCTCCTGCTCTGATAATTGTGTAAGGTACACCAGACTTTGATAAATACTCCTCTGCCTTCCTCTTCCAGATCAGAATCTTCCCATTTCCGAGAGAATTCAACATATGGTTAGGATTTTGACCTCCCATGGATCCAACAATCACAATGTGCTTGCACCCTGCATCCTTAGCAGCGTCAATCTGATTCTTCTGTCCAATCCAATCGACTTGCTCTGGAAATCCATTCTCTTCGTAGTAAAACTCCGGGCGCCCACCCTTGGAAGGGTCAAATCCTGGCTTCATCTTTGGCACCGCACTCGTAGTGATAATCAAAGCATCGATGCCTTCAACCGCAGCACTCAAGGTCTCTGGCTTCGTGATGTCGCCGATGAAAACACCCTCTCCTCCCAATTTAGCCTTGACTTCCTCCGTTCGCACTAAGCCACGCACCACGAACTTCCCCGTTTTCTTCAGTTTGTCAAAGACAAGGCTACCGGTCCTGCCTCCTGCTCCAGTGACCAGCACAGTCCTCACATCGTGTCCTACGGAACCCATATCTTCAATTCTGAATCTCACAACCAACAAAGTTCACCAATAGCGAGGTGCGGCAAGACAGACTCCCTTGCTAATGAGCACTTTCAATTAAGTAGTGATACGGCTATGGCAACGAAGATGGTCTTTATAGGAGAATTACTATCTCCACCTGTGACATTGTTCTGTAAACACCCAAATGCGGTACAGATAAAGCACAACAGACCGACCACCTTAGCGTGTCAGGCGTGGCAAGTTAGGGCGATAGAAGAGAGGGTTCCAGAATAAGCGAAAATGACAAAAGCAGGACGAAGAGAAATATGTGAAGAGATGAGACGTGGGCACCAAGGCTTGTTACGAGAAACTATGTTCTGTTTCTATGATCCTTGTTCTGTTCTGTCTTGTCATCGCCCGTGTTATTTCTTTGAATGCTCTGCTGCCGCTTTCTGTCGCTTTATCTGCCGCATTCGGAGTCGATATATCTAGGGTGAAGATCGATTCCACGTGTGTGTTTGTGATAGCGGTTTCTGATTTGGCTCATGAAAGCTGATATTGCAAGATACATTTCGATTCGTCCCCTTCCAATATTACGAGAATTTCGTTGTTATTGAACCCATCGAGAACTGAGCATATCAGATGCGTGTGAGCTGAGGGCGTCCAGCCTGCTCCTGAGACTAATCACACGCAGGAGAGACCTCAAGCCTATGAAACCCTGAGAGAGATATGTGAGAAACCCCATCACTTAGGATGCAGATCACCCCCCTGCTCATTCGGTTGTCACGAGTGCTTTTGTTGAAGGAGCTCAAATTCTTCATGTCAGCTCTAAGTTTAAAGCTTTGAAGGCCAGAAGATGATCTTGTGCGTTTCAATCGCAAACTTAGGAGGCTTGTGTGATGCCAACTCGGATACAGAAAACTACTGGAACTCCTTTAGCATAATTCAATGAAAATCTCGAGCCATATCGGGTCATTCTACCAAAAAGCACTAAACTAAACTAAACTAAATAAAACTAAACAAAACATAAACCAGAAACCGAAAGAAAACTTGACATTGCCTGTTACATAATTATTTCAAGTCAAAAAAAAAAAAAAAAAAAAAACACGGGTGAGGTACCAAGTCAAGAATAAAACTGAATTCTGCATTCATTAATGTAATTTGCTGATTGGAGTGATGCTGCGCTTAATCCTTGTGCACGATTGTCAACTGTCCCTGTGAGCAGATTTCAAGATCTTTTCATCCTTCCTCACTTACTACCAGATGATCAACTCTCTCCCGTTTTCATGCCCTGAACATGACTCTTACGTTTAACTGTTGTACAGGCAACACTCGTTCAAAATGCCCATTTCTCAACGCAGAATTGAGTATTCCAGGGTTAGTACTCAAATAAGCTCATGAGTAGCAGTCTCAATCCCTTAACAAACTACTGGTAAAATGGTTTTGAATTGTTCAATTCTTTTTCGACCTTGGCAAATCAAGTTTCAAGAGAAAATTAGTTTAATGACAGTTATCTAATGATGATGTCATAATTAATACCAGAAACTACATTGATAGAAAGATGGGCAGAAGAGTCTCTCATTTCTACTTTAGGTATATAAGAATAAGATCTTTGAAAGGACCATCACCAACAGCAAGCATGAGTTTGAACGAACCCGGAAGGATGATCTGAAGACAACGCTTCCAAATCCGTAGCTGACCGAGGGGTTGTCCTGTACATGTTGACTTGCAACTTGTGAAATTGTCCTCTAAAAATTTACTGTCAGATTCAGTGAAAGAATACTCGTACTACCTCTCTGGAAAAAAAAACACCTAATATGTTTGAAAACAGTGGCTTATAGGGCTCTTATCATGCACTCTCAAGCGAGTCACCTCAGATCGCCCAATTTCAAGCAATCCGCCTCTCACCTGATATTCTGGCTGTCCAAACTTTCAAGCTTGTGTGGACTTACAAAATGCTATCCTCTTGTACGAGAATGGGCGTTTCCTATTAGCGATGGACAGATCAAACCCTTCTTGTCAGTTTGAAATATGATCAAATTGTCAAGGGTTCAAGATTACTGCATGGAGTTGGTTTAGGGTTTATGATCAGTTGAAGGAATGCAATCGATTTTGAACACATTTTTAGCTCTGGGACGAACCCATAAACGTTCACACAAGTCAACAGCGACATGCCCCTGGAAAAGCTCGACTCCATGCCAGTGCCATGGAGCTCGATTAAAGTCGTGTTAAGACTAGGCCGACCCAGAGTCCTCTGGCGGAAGCTGTGGTTAGCCTTAAATTGACTTAAGTTTGAGAAAATTAACAAGTTCGAAGAAAAACCAATTTCCTAAAAAAAGGATGATTGCTTACTGTCCTGCAGCTTGCGTCCACCCACCCATAGACATGCGTCGATCAAAGTCAGCGAGAGCCAATAATGGCATCACCTAACGTTCATCACCCCCAGTGTCGAGAACCAAACCACCAACTCCGTTGACTGTTCCCGCAACGACAATTCCTCTGCAGAGAATTAGCGATTCCCATAAGATTTCATCACTTAATAAATTCTCATAAGTGCAGATTGCTTGAACATGGCTCCGATTGCAGTGAAGGACGAGAAGTGGGTTGAATGTATGACGACTGATGAAATTAAGTAGTTCATCTAATTTCCAATTAATGGGATGATGTGAGGCAAGTGGCCAGGACGCTATGGGTGTTTGTTTTAAGGGGAGTGGGCCAGTGGTGCGGCACTTAAGACTCTGATGCCTCATTTATGGTTGCATTCAGTCGGCCGACTTCAACCTCTCTCTCACACAAGATCAGTGATACTACAGTAGATGTCAAGAAGCTGTGGACATAAGTCTGGGGATCCATAGCAGTGCTGCACGCAAGGAAGAATTGGTGGGTACTGTCCTGTTTTTGTCAGTGTCGCCACTCTAGTTCCTTGAAGTCAATCGAGGAGTCGACGGTGGAGCTTGGTTATTGTTTTGTAGGAATGCATCTGTTCATGCAAGGCTTCACAAGTGCAGTGTTCTCGAGCACACCGGCGTCGAGTGCTGTTTTTATTCTGCACCACGCAACCTGATGCATTGCTGAGTTTGAGCAATCAGACAGAAGTTGACGTGCAGTGAAGAGGATTTGACGGTGTTGGACATTTGAAGCTGCTTTAGTTGAGACGTGATGATGAGTCACGATGTAAGTGGATCTCGGCACTGTAGGGTTAATGGCGTGATAGGGGGAAATGGTGCCTCCGTGATGTTCCGAGAGCAGAAGCCGCTTTCGCCCTTGACCCGCCCTCCCCCACAGGGAGTATCCATCGGGCTGCCGACCCGGATCCTTCAAAAGAAAGCCAATGAGATGGATAATTGCGCTCGTTTGACATGGTCGCGTTTGTGGGTATCTATCAACAATTTCAAAGGAGAGCATCAGACCGTGCTTCATGGAGTGTCTGGATATGCAGAGCCGGGAGAAATGCTGGCCATCATGGGACCTTCCGGGTCGGGAAAGTCGACATTGCTGGATTCTTTGGCAGGAAGGTTGTCTCCTAATGCAAGCTTGAAAGGTGACATTCTCGTCAACGGGAGGAAGAAACGACTCTCTTACGGCATGGCTGTAAGTGCCATTGATGTCGTTATAAGCTCGTTTCCACCTCGTGTTGATCGCATGTGGACGTGATGTCATAGTCGCAACACAGAATCATGTATTGTGTGGAGCTTGTTTTCTTGATGTATGATTTTTTGGGGGAGTTGCAGGCTTACGTAACACAATCAGACGATCTCATTGGAACGCTCACCGTGCGAGAAACCATCTACTACTCTGCGCAACTCCGACTCTCCAACGATATCTCCCCAGGAGAGAGGAAAGCGATTGTGGATAGCACAATTCGTGAAATGGGACTTCAAGACTGCGCTGATACTCCCATTGGAAATTGGCACATTAGAGGGCTGAGTGGAGGGGAGAAACGACGCGTCAGTATCGGCCTTGAGATCTTGACTCGCCCAAGGATTCTCTTTCTGGATGAACCAACCAGTGGTCTTGACAGGTGCGTTGTTTGTTGTAAACAAAGTATCTAGCTCGGCCGTTATCGAATCCTTCCAGCTCTCATTCCTCACTTGAGGTTTTGGAAGGGTTTAAGAATTCGAATGTCCATACGCAAGATGATGCTCTTGATTAGGTTTGAAGGATGGTTTTATCGCATTTCCACATCACGGAATAGTAATCGCCTGGCGGTTTTTGTGCAGTGCCTCTGCTTATTTTGTGATGACGACGTTGAAGAACTTGTCCAGAGATGGTCGCACAGTTATTGCCTCCATCCATCAGCCAAGCAGTGAAGTCTTTGATCTTTTCGACAACCTGTTCTTGCTGTCGAGCGGCCAAACAATTTTCTTTGGCGAAGCTGCTTCAGCTCACGAGGTATGTCACCTTTCGCTTGATATCAGACCTCTCCGGTGTTCATGCAATTATGAAATCGTCACTCTCACGATTTCGTCATTGAATTGTGCTTACGCATGAAATATTGGTAATTCACAGCACTTTGCAGCATCTGGGTTTCCATGCCCACGGCTTCGTAATCCTTCAGACCATTTTCTTCGGACAGTAAACACCGACTTCGACAGAGTGAAGTCGAAAATCAAAGGTTCATTCAAACATAGGGTGAGATACTGAGCTTCCTCTCACGTTATATCATGCCTGCGTAATCACAATGACATTCATCAACTGTCTTGGGCGTTCAGCAACATTCATGCGATTGAGCAAGTATGAGACGCTGGATAATTGGACTTGTTGCAGGATTTGGAAGCTCGCAACCATGAACTTTTGAACTCCATTGCAGCAATAGAGGCGGTCAAAGTTTTAGTGGATTCATACGTGAACTCAGAGTATTACGTGATGGCGCTCTCAAGAATGCATGAGATAAACCACATCGTAAGTGTTCAGATGACCATTCACATTCCATGTTGCTCTGAAATTTGATTGTCTCTGCTTATTACAATCCTCCCTACGATTGGGTCTCATTCTATGCTTATGATTGCAAACCATGGTTTCAGCAAGGTACTATTCTGGAGTCTGGGGGCAGTCAAGCAGGGTTCTTCCGGCAATGCTTGACTCTTACGCGGCGATCATATGTAAACATGTCAAGAGACATGGGATACTACTGGCTTCGTCTTGTAATTTACATCATGCTCACGGTCTGCATCGGAAGCATTTACTTCAACATTGGAAACGAGTTTTCTGCCATCATGGTGTGTTTGCTCATTTCTTTCAAAATCACGCAGTGTTTGTAGCTTATGTGTTTCATACCTTGTTCACGTTCATCGCAATTGGATTGATACGATCTCATGTGTCGTGCAGGGAAGAGCAGGTTGCATGTCCTACGTCGCCGGATTTTTGACGTTCATGTCCATTGGGGGGTTTCCGTCATTCGTTGAAGACATGAAGGTAATCAAGGTTTCATTGCTTCTCTGTTATTCCTAAACTGGGGTTTTAAGATTTCTGTTTGAATGTTCTGAGGAGGGTAAAATGTTGATGCATGAACTTTGAACTCACAATTTTAGTGCACTTGATTATGGCAGGTCTTTAGTCGGGAGAGATTAAATGGGCATTATGGAGTGGCCGCATTTGTGATAGGAAACTCCTTATCTTCCCTCCCCTTCCTGTTCCTCATATCAGCCGTCTCGGGAGTTATCGTCTACTTCATGGTGCAACTTCACTCAGGCTGGGTCCATTTTGTCTACTTTGTGCTCATGTTGTTCGCTTGCGTTGCGTGCGTGGAAAGCCTGATGATGGCCGTAGCGAGCGTCGTCCCGAATTTCCTCATGGGCATCATCACTGGAGCTGGAATTCAGGTCACTCCCATTACATATCACCATGAATTCCGTTCTGGTTTCCCGGTATTTGCAATTGGCAATTGAAGTTTCTATGTACCTCCGACAATCTGGAAAGTAATTATTAGTGTAACTGATCGATCAATGGTTATACAAACAGGGAGTTTACATGTTGGTCGCTGGATTCTTTCGATTACCCAATGATCTTCCCAAGGCTGTATGGAAGTACCCCATGTCTTACATTGGCTTTCATACGTACGCACTTCAGGTGGGTGCTCAAATCATACTTACCCATTGCAGTAGTAATAAAGCCATTCTGTCATAATTACCAGGAGTACAGCATAAAGTCCGATTCGTGTTTATCCTCGAATTTCTGCGACCTGATATTCTTGGTCTCACTGATGTGAACGGCAGGGTATGTATCAAAACGACTTTCTGGGGTTAACCTTCAAGAATTTTGTCCTAAATGGCGTATCTACAGGGGCTCCCATAAGCGGTGAGCACGTTGTGGAACAGCTGTATCAGATTGAAACGAGGCGTTCGAAGTGGGAGGACTTGGCAGTTGTGTTCGGTATGGTTGTTGGTTACAGGATTATTTTCTTTATCATGATCAAATTTTCAGAGAAATTTGGACCCAAGTTGCGCTCCAAATTTATCAACCCACTTTTGGCTCACTTCACAACCAGAAGCCCAGCCGTCAGCAATACGATTCAGCCGTTGTCGCTGCAGCCTTCTCCAGCTCACGAGTGCTACCCTCTTCGTTATCAACAGATGCCGAATGAGTTTACCAAAATCTATGCAAGCTCATATACAGCCTGAAATCCATGCCTCACAATTCTGAAACGATCATTAATAAGCCCTCGTGAGGCTCACCCTGGACATGAGAAAGCTGTCCATAGCAAAGCTAAGAACACAATGGAAAACTAGACTACCGTGGCAAACGAACCAACTTAGAAAACTTTCGAGTCTTGATAGCTCTATTCTGTCCAAAAAACTCCTTCAAAAGTAGGGAGTGCTTTGAAAATTTTCGTTAAGTTTCGTCGTGGCGCTGAAAGGCGCCCGCGGCTTTAACAATTTATTCTGCTGTATCTTGGATAATTCTGTAGAAAAATAAATGCGCGGAGTAAATCAACGTGTCAAGTGGTATTGACGAATTGGATGACGAGGTTTGGTGTTCACGCAGTACTGAAAGGTACTGCCTGTCTAGAACATTGTTCAAATCCACTTTTGGATCCATCAATACTATTGATTCAAATCTACATTCCGCCTCCCTACGTACTTGCTGTAGTAGTCTAGAGAGATAGTAACAAAAAGCTGCCATGTCTTGTAGGTGAGTGGCTCCCTCATTATTAGAAATCACTCTCTTCAACATGTATCAAGAAAACCTGAATCACTCTACCACACACTTAAATGTTTTAATAAACAAAATCGTTTTTGAAACATATCTTCCTCCTCGTCTTTATCTTGATTGTACTTCTTCGCATTCTTTCCCAATCTAAAATATCAATACATCATTCACAATTTTAAATTTTGAATATACATACATTAACACATATGTATATATATATATATATATATATATGTGTGTGTGTGTGTGTGTGTATACAAACACAATTTTTTTAAATATTAAAATTCTTTCTAAATCATAAAAATTAAATTCTATATTAGTAATATATCAAGACACTCTTACATAAAAAATGATTATTCTACCAACTCAAATGTATTTCACAATAACCAATGCTAACCACAATAATTTATGCTGTTTTAAGCATCTTATAGTGACTTAAAGTAAATATAGGAAATGTCAAAGTATCTATCAATGCTTAAATATTTTGTTTAATATTTTTTGAATAAAAAAACTCAGTTAATAATTAATTTGTTGTGTAGATACAAATGATTTTTATTCTCTTACATAGTTATTAACACGTCGTGTCATATTGAAATAAATATAATAAAATTATAAAACTCACTCCCTTATAATTTAAATTATAACTACCTTTGGTGACATATAATTATTTTTATTGATATTTTTTAATAAAACTTCTTTTAATTTTTAGGTGATTACATATAGTATATTCTAATTAGGTTTTCTTTTGTTACATACTTTTTTTTTTTCATGAACAGCATTAAAGTATTCGTGTGGATCAGAGGACTAATTTTTCTGTAATACACATGCACATTATTTAGCTTTGAAAGCTATCATAAATAAAATTCTATCAAAAAAAAAAAAAACTTAAAATAATAATATTACAATTGCTTGATATTGTTAAATTTTTCATCATTTCAATTGTTATCTTTTTTTTATTATTGTATTACATATGATTGTAAAAATCATGATTAAAGTATAATGTCTAAATTTTTTAACATGACTTAAGATTCTTTTTTAGAACAACTTTTTTCTGTAAACACATATTTCATAATTGCGTGATCAATCCTTGTAAACTTATACAGTCTAATGTTTGACCAACCTAACATTCATTGCAAAATTAAACATTACTACTTAAAGAAACATGCATCAACGAAAATATCTTGAAGAAAGTTTTGTGAATTAATAATTTTTTTACCATGTATACTTTTTTCTCCTGTTCTGCTGTTTCATTTTTATTGAAGAACATGTTTTTATTCATTTGCAATATTAGCAGTCAGTAAAAATAGTATGAAATCATTTCAATTATAATCATTATTATTGAATCCAATTTTAATTTGATTGTTACTAAAAAAAACATGTATTTCGATTCAAATTATATATATGTATGTATGTATGTATGTATAATTGAAAATACAAATATACATGTATGTTGTATGTTGAAGCATTTTTAAAGTACCTCACTGAGAAAGATCTTTATATTTTTTTCTTCTTTCACAAAAATCATTATTGCTTTGAACATACTCTTTTTCAAAACCTCATATGATTTATAAAAATTTATTAAAGTATACTTTTTGGCTTTGTTTTTTTATTCATGTGAATTTGTGACATCTCTCCACCAACCAAGTGTGAATATGCATGATTATAGTTTTGATTGGAACTTGGGTCTTCTTACAGGTGGGTAGGTTGTATTATAAGGTTGTTATGGCAATAAAGGTTTCCTTTACTTGTTTCAAAATAAAAATAAATAAAATTTGAGTATTCCCTTACACATGTGTGGAATAAATCCACCCACATGGGCATTTAAATACCCTAAAAATGTCCATGTTAGCCTAGATGTCATAGTAGTCTACTAATACCTTCCATTACTTGAACAAGACCACACTATTTTTCAAGTGTGTGGTCCTCAAAGGTGTCGTTCTATCACACTGCATCCGTCATGCATTACATGAACTATGTCATTCTAAGGTGGTGCAAGGGACCAAGTTACCTTTGATTTTTAATTTTTGGTATCTGTTTTTTATGCTAATAAATTATGAAACCTTTCCAAGTGCTTTCAAAATGTTTAGAATACAAGGTGTTGGATTGGAAATGTATGTACATTTTATTTCTCGAAATCTGTATTTTGTTCTGAAAATTTTCTTTTTTCACTCATTGTTACTTGAAATTTGTTTCAAGTATTTTTTTACTATAATTGTTTACTTGAAATATGTTAAGCACCCATAGATTTTATTTTCACATTTACAAGATAGAAATATGGATGTTTTATTGGATTTTTAGTACATTCAAATAAGTAGATAAGAAAAGTAGAAAGTCATTTTAAGTTTGATTTAGAACCGAAGTTTTGTTTTTTTAAAACACTACAAAAAAATTTTAGAACGTACTTACACTAACATTTAAGTAAAGTATGAAATGATAAAATGATTAACTGTCTAATTATTAGTTGGCCATCATAAATTTCCCATTCCTGGTTTAGTCTTATTTTATTTTATTTTTATAAGACCACTTCTGCACATTTAATGGATGGAATTGTGCTGGAAACTTATTTTTAATACAAGATAATTGAATTAAACAATGTATATAATGGACTGCCATTAAATAGTGTGGGGCATCACACACTTGGATAATTGGGAACAGGCTAGGTACTCCACATGGGAACAGTGAGAGGATGGGGGGAACATGAACATCATCTCCTTTTGGGCACGTGTTCCCCATGGGGATCATGTCCCCATCAGTCACCCAAATGTTCCCTTGCAATGCATTCTGCATGTGCAAGTGCACTATTAAAAGCTTCCAAGAGTTGTGTGATAGAAAGAAGAGATGGGTGTTCTCATACATTCTCATCATGTGTGTGATTGCTACCATTTGACAAACTTGTTGTTTAAAGTTGTTCCTTATCTATGTCTTCATGTGACATGTCAAGTTTGGTGTAAATAAATTATTATTGTCATAAACTTGTGGTCAAAGTTGGTAATTTTAAAGTTGTTGCAGGTGTGTATGAATATGAATAATTAATGAAGGTTGGTAGAGGTTGGTATTCTTCAATAGAATCCTACTTAAACTACATGAAGGATGTAGATTCTTGCTGCATTTTAAAATTTCTAGCAAAATTGACTACTTCTTTTGCCCTTGGCAAAAAGAATATATTGGTTTGTTGAAAGAAACATAGGGTATGAGAATTAAAATCATATTGAAAAAAAATGATTAACAAAAAAGAAATGGGTGTAAACCCTTATATACGTATTGATGCTTAAAAACATCAGACAGTTGGTGATTTTGAAGGATTAATGAGCACATGATATGGAAATTTGTCTCTCTTGTTTAAGTCAAATTTTGTCAAATAGTCCATAGAATCTCTGTAATGATCAAATCAAAGCTGCATTTATTTCCATTCCAAAAAGCATTAATATTCCAAATGATTCCAATTATAGAAGTACAGTGTACAACAAATATGAGGCACACTTTTATGAATGGAACTACTAAATTCACAAATCTAATATTATCTATTTTAAAAATCCAATCACTGTCAATTTGAATTGAGTTGAATTGGGTTTCAACTCTAACTACAATTACTCACAGTAGTAAACAATCAAATACAAAAAGTTAAAATCATCTATATGATTTTTAAAAATTTTAATTCTTTGAATTTTGTAAATTGAATTACGTTAAAGTAGAGCATGAAATTTTATTTTGAAATTTTCATAACAATATTTTATACATTATAGATAAACGAATGAATGAATATATCTATATATATATATATATAAAGCTTAAGATACACACACCTCAAGTTGCTACACACAGGAAAATAAAGACTTACAATTAGTTGGTTTGTTAATTTCACTTGCAATTGATAATGTAGAGGATGATGAGGTCCATGACTCATGTCAGGACAATGAAGAGGGGAAAGAAGTCAGTGATTAGAATATGCACCAAGGCAGGATAAAAAAGAAAGAAGTCCAAGTTTTATGTTGAGATTGGAACCTATACTGGGATAAGAAAGATTGGAAGGAGGTTTGGAACTTGTGTTGAGATAAAGCAGAGAAGAAGGAAGACATTTCAAAATCTATTTGTATGAAATAAGCAAAGAAGCCAATTAGAGATCTTAGCTATGTGGATAGCAATTTAAGACATGTATGTAGCCAAAGTATGTATATATGTATATATGTATATATATATATATATATATATATATATATATACCTAGTTTTGCACAAATTGAAAAAAATAATAATGATAAAATTGAAATCTATGACACCATCAAATGTTTAGAGTAGAAAATCTGCTATAAGTAACATTGAAAGAAAGAATATATATATATATATATATATATATATATGTGTGTATAAATAAAAGTTTAAATTCTCTTATATTTTAATTGATATGCATTGAACTTGCTAACCGCATCAAATAAAAATATTTTAAATTCTAATAAAATAATATAAATTTATCTAAGTCTTACAAGATCTAATATTTGATAAATTTGATTTAAAGACCTTCTTTGATAATGAGTGTTGTATTTAGAAATTATTTAAAGTATAACATAGTAAAATTATATATTAGTAGATTGCAAGATAATTTATAATACACATTTACTATCTTATACAAATAAATAATTAATTGTATTCATTGACATAAATTTACTCTCTTACAATTTTCCTTTAAAGAAAAAATACTATTGTTATTGTTTATTTATGTTATTTGTATTTCAGTAAAAGGATAGGTAAAAATAAAATAAAAATAGAATAAAAATCAAATTGTAAAATTTCTAATATTTTAATAATTCTAAGAATTTAAATAACTTTCTTAATTGTATAAATGTAAGATTATCTAAGATCTTTTGATTGAAATTTGACTTGAAAATATTTGTTAATAAAAATTATCATGACCAAAAGAGAATAATTATATTGCATTAAAAAATACTTTTTAATAAAGAGATTGTATAGTATTTTATAAATTAGTTAGAAACTAATTCGTACTAATTTTAAACCTTCATTTTAATCAATTGATATCCATATTATGTAAAACAAATAGCAAAAATTTAGTTTAGAACCAAATGATTTTAAAAATTTGAATTAAAGTTGTGTATATTTGCTCTACTCTATTATTGTGGTATATTTAAAAGTGATTATATATATATATATATATATATATATATATATATATAAATGCATCTCTATTAAAATAAATTTTTAATTAAAAAGTGATATCATTAATATTCTAACAAGAATCTCAAATAAAATTACTATATATATATATATATATATATATTTATATTTATATTCACATAATTGTGATTTAAAAGAGTAAAAGATATAAATTACACATAATATATTTTGCAATAAAAGACATACCTATAAGTAATCATACAAAGAGTTTTATAAAAGTAATATTATATAAAACTATAAATATCAATGTTTTTTAGACATTAAAAATTTTCAGTGATAATGATAAAAATAATAACTTAGTTTCTAACCAAGATAATATGTAAAATTTTATATTTCTTAGTTTGCTTATGAGAAATCCATAATATCTCTGATTTATCAGTTAGGTTGCTTATAAAACCTAAACTATTCAACAATTATAATTTTAGAAAATATCATTATAAAGGTATTTAAATAATAATTATGATTATTTTGGTGTTAGAATTACATGTTTAAGAAAGAAATAGACAAAGGTACATTTTTAAAAAATAAAATCTTTAAAATGAATACCAATTTTAATATAAATACTGTTTTTTTGTTAACATACATATGTGTGTTCATATGCAATGTTAAAATGTTTGTTGAAAAATCACATGTCAATAAGTTGGAATAATAAAAATTTATGAAAGAAAAAATTAGAAATTAGAAAATAGAAATTAAAAATTGCAAAACTACATTAAAAATTGTGCCAACGATTTTTTTTTTTTTTTTTTTTTTTTTTTGATTTCAGATGTTGATTTATTATTTCATAGTTATTTTAGTATTATAAAAAAGTAAATATTAATTCATGAAGTAATTTTTTAATAATAATCTTAAACTCGACTTATATTCTTTAAATCTGTAGAAAAAAAAATGAATAATATGTACTAAAGAATAGAGGTATTATATTGTAAATGATTAAAATAATTTGAATGAAAATTAATGTGTTAGAATGTATGTGCCTTTGGAATAAAGTATTTCATAAATTCTCTTACAGTGTAACTGCTGATTTTACTTCTTCCATAAATTTCAAAAACAAACAAATAAACAAAACAAATATCTCTGTTGTTTTCTTTACAAATATAAATATAAATTTATATGTTGTAAATGTATTTTCATAATCATTAAGCATATGGTATAGAAGGAAAAATTAAAGTTGCTTGTTGTCCATATCTCAAACACCAATATATATATATATATATATATATATATATATAAGCCTTTTGAGGCCCTTCGTCTACAACAAGAAAAAAATGAGAAGCAACAAGAAGAAGCAAAACATAATTTGTTGTTTGGTAATGCAACAATTATACATTATAACAATCTCCACGGTGGTTGTGGAATGCATATCTATAGTGTGAAAGATAGTAGCCAAGATCTAAAAGGTCATGTTCCTACCATATTCCAATTAATTATGTGTGTCATGTTGACAAAAAGACAAAATGCACTTAATTTAATACATAACAATCTCATAACCCATTTAAACAATTAAATCTTATAGAAAGGATGAATTAATTAACCTAATATTATAACCCTGAAATTTAAAATTTCTAACAATTACTATAGAATTATTAAAATCTCAAATTTGCAGTATATTTTATATTTCCTCATCAACCAAACAAAACTAAACTCATTAACTCCCACACAAACAAAGACTCATTTCACACAACCGAGAGGTATAAGGAAGAAACTATTCACCAATAATCACGTCCATACAAGATTTTTAATTTTTTAATTTTTTATTCTTATTTTTAAAGAAAGCACAACCACAATCATTAATTCCCCACCCACATCAGCGAAACCCTAAGAAGAGAAAATCCCTCCGATTTCCCACAAGGATTCATTCCCACATGTCGCAACTCATTTTCAACTCCCTAAATACACAAATATTGAACCAACTGCAAAAGAAAACAGATGAAAAAACGCAAAAAGGACGAAAGCAAAAAGGAAAAGTTGGTGGGGGAAGCAAGCAAAAGGCCTCTTGTGCGTCGTAGCGATTCGAGCTTGTGCTGGCGCTGATGTTGCTGTTGCTGTTGCGTGCGTGCTCTTGCTTGCGTTGGCGCGGCGCCTTTTGATGATCAGCAGCAGCAGCGGCAGCGCCCCTCGTTGCCAGCATTTGAATGCCCGATTGCGCCTCTACACTCGTCAGGGGGGATACGTTGCCGCACGCGATTCAATCCTCCCCGAATTGTGAGTGCGTGTGTGTTGCTCCGTGCATTGTCACTGAACCTTTTGGTGCGTGTTGTTGTCGGTGCGTTACCGTCGCTCCTGTTGCGTCTATAAGCCGAGTTAGGGGACAGATTGTTGTTTATCTTGTTGTAGCATGTTTTGGTGAAATGGGTTCGGGGTTGTAGTTGGGGAGCTGGTCTCATGCCTTTGCTGTGTCGCGAAATTCTCGTTTATTGGTCGGTATTATCGTTGTCGCATGTTTTTTGAAACCCACAGGTCGCGCTTCGGAGATCAGTTTGTGGGCACAAGGAGCTCTGGCGATGAGCCGCTTCATGCCACCTCCGCTCCTTGACTCTGTCGAGGTTGACTTTGGTGGCTCGTTGATCGCCCTGCGCTGTTGTCGATGTAGGTTTGATTTGGGTGCAGAATTAATGCCACTTTTGAGCCTCAGTGCGAGGAACTTGGAAGTGTGGTCGACTTTTCCCTCCGGCCGTCCGTCTCCTGCCTCGCTCAGCGTTCAATAGTGGCTTTTTAGTTGTGTAGTTCTATCACTTAACTTGCTAAGCAATCAGCTGAAGAGACAGGTTGCTACTCCTTTAGTTGCATTGACCTCACCTTATTATCCTTGATTCTTCGTCACGCTGAGCTTTTCGAGAGGTTGAAGAGTTCCTTCTATTGTTCGCATCACCCTGAAACCTCGTGCTACGTACATTGCTGCATTTGGTACCAAATTAAGTATATTCTCGACTGCATTGTTAGCTGTTGAATATGAATCCCAAGGTTGTCATTCACCGCTCACTCTATGAGAGTTCATTCATTGAGCTTGATCGACCTTGTAAATCATAGAGAAACAATCATTTATTGTGTGGGGGTGAGGGCTGTTTTGGATTGCAGTAAATGGAAGCTCAAGGCAGGCCTGACGTTAGGGTTCGCAAGGTTCGGCAAGTGCACACTGGACATGAAAATGACCTCATCGCTTCGGTGTCAGAGGGTTTGTTAGACAGCAATGTGGCTACTTTAGGCTACGATGAAAGGTACCAAGATGGTTGCTGCGATGAGAACCCCCCCAAAAGCCCTGGCAGGGCGCAGGACTTGTGGCGAAAAGTGAAGAAGCAGTACGACTTAGTTGAGTATCATGTACTGCCAGATTATTTAAGGGATAACGAGTATATTTTGAGGCATTACAGGTCGAATTGGCCTCTGAAGGAAACTTTACTGAGTATATTCACAATCCACAACGAGACTCTCAACATATGGACGTAAGTGGATCGCTTGCTTCCATTGCTTAGTTTGTGTATTCATTATACTTCTATGGGTTAAAGCTATTTGAAAGTTAACCATTTAATAGAAGAATTATGGAGTGCGGTCATCCATTTTCTTTTGGAGCGTATTCGTCCCTTCAAACTGTACTATCCGAGATCTATATGAGGTGTTTTAAGAACATACTGACACTTAGAGCTCCAGAGTTCGTGAAGACTTTGCGTATTGGATGTATTGACATGCAGACAGATGTAGTCAAATGTCGATTTCACAATTGGCGAGTGATGTTTGCAGGCACTTAATTGGTTTCTTGGTTTTCCTTGCTCTCACGATATTCACAGTCCGGCAAGTGCCAAAAGAAGCTGTTGTGCCTGAGCGGCTTGCAAACTTGATACAGATGCCGAACCGTGGCGACTTGCATCAGTTGCACGTTGAGTTGGTGACCTGTTTTCCTGCATTAGCGAATGTGCCATCATTTCTTCAAGATCACTTGCCTCATATCCTAGCCAAGTGTGTTCCAGACACTCCTATCATTGCAGCTAACAGCACACAACAATGCTTCATGGTACGTTGAACATATTTTTTCTTTTCCTGAAGTCCTCTGCGAGTTCAATAGTAATTTCTGCCGGTTAATGTCAGATGTTATAGTATCCGTGTTTCGGGGATATCTACGGGCGCGCGTGAACAGATCACGTTTATGTCACCTTTTAGGCCAGGCGACTGAAGCGATTTTGCGACTCGGGTTTGCTACTGAATGGAAATTTTTTCGGTCTGCAGCAAACGATGAAAGATGCATTGGGCGTGGAGCTGGACATGATAGTTGCAGGCGCCACGCGGGTGCCATTTCTGGTGTTCATGGGAGGAGCTATGTTCTGTCTATTTTCCAGCAGTTTTTGCCACCTCTTGTCCTGTTACTCTAGTGACCTGACGTATTGGCTGTTGCGCTTGGACTACGCAGGCATTGCTACCATGATTGCCACCAGTTTCTACCCTCCCGTCTATTACGTATTCCTATGCCAGCCAATGTGGCGACATGTCTACTTGACCAGCATATCTTTGATTGGGGTGTCGACTGTGGCCATCTTTCTCGTGCCCGCGTTCCAAACAGCCAAGTACCGTCCCATGCGAGCCATTGCTTTTGCAGCCATGGGCATGTCCGGGATCATACCTGCTGTGCACAAAATTGTCTTCTTCCATCATGAGCCAGTCTGCATAGAGACTCTGTGGTATGAGATTGGCATGGGCCTCTTCTATCTCGTGGGTGTGATGATCTATGTCACACGCATTCCTGAGCGCTGGAAACCCGGTGCATTTGACATTGCTGGTCACAGCCATCAGCTGTTTCACGTTCTAGTCATTGCTGGAGCTTACACTCACTACAGAGCCGGATTGATCTACATGAAGTGGCGTGATGCCCATGGCTGTGTTCCTGGTATTACCTCCATCTGATTCACTAGGTACGTCTGCAGGCTCCTCTGGTTACAGCACAACTTGTTGACTGGATTGTTCCACTTTGTGCAGCTCCTGTCCCATTTGACAAAGTCTATTTTTTGAGCCATTGCTAATGGCTTGGTTTTAGTATCATTGAAGTTCTGGATTAGGATTTGTGATCACTCGGATAAGATCATCGAATGATTTAATATCATTGGAAGCAATGCAAGCATATGCATCTTCCAATAGAGGTGTGCTTGTTTGCTGTCTCATCATGAATGGATAAACCATCTAAGCACAGTATTGCATGCTCACGTAAATACTGCCTTCCATTCGTGGATTTAATATTAAACAATTTGTTTTGATCCATCAAAAATAATTGGTGGATGGGACTATTTAAATGTGTATTTAAGGCAAAGTTTCTGTTCTAAATAACAGTTTTAAATCAATAAGATTTTTTTGCACATCATCCTAAAAATACATACGTAAATTACTTCATTAGCTTGGAATTGAACTTCTAATGAAGTTGTTTGCAATTAGCATTTGTGAACATCTTTCATTGAATGGTATTTGTGTTATGGTAAGAACTCTGTATTTTTGAGCCAGAAATGTTAACATCATAAGTTGAAGTTGGAGATGTCTTAATGTGGTTGAAATCAAATAACCCCATCGAATCTTTCTTTATGTTGCTTTGTTTTGATGTAAATTCTCATGCACTACTGTAAAAAATATTAATCCACACAGAAACTAATCACATGCCTCTCTTTCATGAATTTGTGAGTTGTTTGCAATAGTATCTTAAATTTGTGTAGAATGTCCATTGTAGTTAGTTACTTTCATTAAGCAAAATGACCATGTATCTGTTAGCTGTGCACACACAACACCTTAAAAACTTTTAGATCTTTCTAAGAAGCCTACGAAGTTGCAAAATCCTATTGAATTTTTTTATTTAGAATTTTTCTTATTTTTGGTAGCATTATAAGCAAAAGATGGATAAGTTTTGATTAGATAATATAGAAAAGGGCCAAAATATCACATCATATCAAATGATCTCTTGTGCAAACAACTAAAATCAATCCCCACACCACTTCAATACCACCATCATGTATTATATAATATTGTCATTGATAGTAACTTTTTTAGTAATTAACTTTAATATTTAATCTATTATTATGAATACCAGTTTTGATTTTGACATGCAAGTTATCCATGGGTAGAAGCTAAATAGCGATCGCAGACATATATATTTATTCCAATAATTATCTAGTTATTATGAATAAGATAAAGTAGATTAATTTGATAATATTTTATAGAGAAGTTTTCTTGAAGCTTTATAGATATGGTTTCATTTTTATACATGTCTATAAGTGATTGGTAGGTTAGAAACTTAGTCAACAAATTAATCACATGTTGCACATGTTGATAGCTTGTCGTACAAGCTAATTAGGTAGTATATATATAAGAAACTTGTCTTGGAAGTTAAAACTTATATTTTGCAAATTAGACATGTATTGGAGGTCCATATAGCTTGTAGTTAGATAGTATATGTGGAGGTAAGAGTCAAGCTTTTTTCACTCTCATTAATGCCTTTCTAGTCTTTAATCTTGTTTTAAGATTTTATAGTCTTTTTGTCTTTGGCAATTGCCATTCTAGTTTAATATCATATCATTTTTGAGAGATTTTCTAGCCTGTTGAAGTGACATAAGAATATATTAATCTTTTAGTTCTTTGAAATTAATGTACTTGACAACATCCCACAAGGTAGAATCAAGATTGGTATTAGAGCTTCTTCTCATCCATATGCAAGGATGAAATAAAACTTTTGAAGTACTAGTTAGCTACTTTTTTTTTGTCAAATTGGTATATATATATATAGATATATATATATATATATATATATATATATATCTATGCTTTTTAAAAAAATTAACTTGTAAATGATCAAATTCAAATTTTGTTGAAATCTTCATTTAAATATTACATTCGTGAAGTATAGATATATGATTGTTTTACAAAAGATTGAAAGAATCCATTGTTACATAAATTAATAGTTTCTTCAGTAGATAACTTAAAATTTAATTAAAAATTATTTTATACTTTAATATTATTTAAATAAAAATATTTTAAAAATTTATTATGCATAAATATTTTCTTACACCAAATCTTAAAATGATTCCACAAAATGACTTTTGATATTTTTATTTAATATATTTTAGAAAAAAAATAAGAATAAAAATAAAACTAATATAAAAAAGTAAGATATTATTTGCATGTAAATTGTATATGTATGAGTTGTCTTTAATATAAATTTTAGACATTGAATATATCATGAATTAAAATTTTATAGATATCTATTTGAAATATCACTTCCAAGTTATTTGTGTGTTTTAAAAAACTATAAAAATTGATATAATTTAATAATAAAAATCTATAATAAAAAATAAATATTAGATTTTTTTTAATATGAAGTTAGTTTTTTTTTTTTTTTTTTTTTTTTTTTTTTTAAATAGACATTTATATTATTGATTATCTAATAAATTATTAAGTCATGTTAATTATAAAAAATATATATATATATATATCATACATATATTTGATGTGTTAAAAAATATTAAGAATATCCACATACTTTTGATAATAGCAAATCTACCCTTAGACATGATAAGCTTTAACCATCTTTTGTTTTTAACTACATTTGGGGCCCAACCACGGCAATTTTCTTAACATATTGGGCCCTACATGAAACATAATCAAGGATGGTTGTAAACATTTGACCACAAACTTAACATAGTATTATAGAAGAGAATCCACACCTCATTAGATGCTACATTTTTTTAGCTATGGTACTTAATAGAGTAATTGTATCAAGCCTGTAAATTAATTCTCTCATTTTGGCATGATTATATTTTTTTATTTTTTAAATATTGCATATTTTTTGTTTTTGTAGAGAAGCTTTTTACATAGAAAAAATATATGCATATATTTGCAAGTCATTTAAAAGTGCCTATACAACCTTTTTCATTTGTGGATTTTTTATGTGGTGCAAAAAAAATGTATTGCAAAGTCTGTATAACTATATAACCTAAGAAACTTTAGATGAAGATTTGTATTCAATGTGACATGAAGCCATAAGTGCAATGTACACGTAAAGTTGTTATCAGTAGATTGATAATCAAATTGGTAGTACTAATTGGTGATCTCAGAAACATCTTAGGTATAGCTTATGTCTTTTGGAAATATGATTAAGTCATTAGCTCCAAATTTAATAAATTTGGATGATTCTTTAAAATTTGGATTTTTCCTACAATACTTTATTAAATAAGTGGTTGAATGTTTACAACCATCATTGATTACATTTTTTTTTGAATAAAAAAAGAATTTATAGCTATATATTAGTTGAATTAGTAGCAACTAAATATTCAAGGAATTAGCAAAAATGACTCTATTATCTACTTGAGCAAATGAATTACACGTGACTATTTTCAGAGATTGTAACAAAATGCATTAGATTAGTAAGTAGATGTCTAGAGCCAAACTGACCACTTCACAAGTCTATACTCTTGAGACTAATATAGGCAAAAAATACAAATATAAAAAATGAATGAAGTCTTTCAAATTGAAAGTATTTTGATTTTTTTTAGAAATTATTAAAGAGATCAAGTTTTGAATGTATTGAAGGCTTTACTTTGAAGAGATTGAAAAAAAAAAAAAAAAAACATGCTCTGCTTAAAAAAACTTATCAAATCAATCTATACCTAAGTTGCTATAGATTTTGTTAACAAAGTACTACAATTGTATAAACCCAGTTAGTTCATCATGGTCTTTTTAGCCTTAGACAAATAAGACTTTTGGTACCCAATTTTGTTCTTGTAAAGAGAACCAATCTTGGTTACTTGTAAATAGTTTTAAAAGCCTCTCCAATAAGGTTTTTAACATCATAGATACACATATTTATTCTAATATTTATCTATATGATTAAATAGAAGTAAATAAAAATAGATTTATTTCATAATATTTTTTAAAAAAGCTTCTTACAAGCTTCATAGATGTTGCTTTGAATATACATGTGTTTATAGTTGATTGGTAGATTAGAAACTTCAACAACAAGTTAACCACATGTTGGTAGCTTGCAGAACAACTAACTATATAATATACATATAGAAAACTTATCTTACAAGTTAAGATACATGTCTTGCAAAGTCAACATGTTTTGGAGGTCCTATAAGATATTGCTACATAGCTCCTAATTAAGAGTATATATGGAGGTAAGAGTAAAGCCTTCTTCAATCATATTAATGCCTTTCTGGTCTTTAGTCTTGTTTCTAGACTTTCTAGTCTTCTTGTCTTTGTCAATAGCCATTTTAGTTTAATATCATATCATCTTTAAGTGACAAAAGAGTATATTACGGATTCATTTCTTTAAGATTCATGTCCTTGATAATTAATGGCCTTGAAATCTTTATTTGTAATATCTGTTAAAAGATACATTTTTTTTTTTTTTTTTTTTTTTTTTTTAAAAAAGTAGAAACATTAGAATTCTTTGATTTGTGATATATATATATATATATATATATATATTTTCTCATTTTGACAAGTTTTCTTTTCAATTTGATTTAAGTTTTTTAGTTGAAACTATTACAACATGTATTACTATTCACCTTCTTGTTACTTGATCCATCACTTAGCTTTTGCAGGCTACACCTTATGAATACAAACCCACAAAGGCGAAGCTTAGGAATACAAATGACTATGGCAAGAAAGTATAAATTGACACCACTTGTATTATAGGTAGTAATCTCTCAGTGGCCCTACAGGAGCTCTCTATTGCCATCACTATAGCTTCTAAGTAGCGGTGTTGCAAGACAAAAGTGGAATGAGAGTACAAAATAGTTTGTTGTTCATTACATTTTATGTAGGCCCCTAAATGTGAAGAAAAGTATTGTGGTTTGGTTGCATATGCACCTAAAAACAAGAGATGGTTATAACATATTACATCAAGGGATAAATTTGCAATTATCACAAAAGTAAGGGATAGATGTCAAGGACATGAACTAAAAAATCTATGTTAAAAGAAAAGTGACAAAATAACAATAAATTAATATGTATATTAAAAAGAAATTATAATGGCTATTGCCAAAAGACAAGGAAATTAAAGACTCTTAAATCTAAACTAGAAGCAAGAAAGGAATAAAGGCTTCATTCTTACCTCCATATATACTATCTAATTAAGAGATACGTGGGGATATTCTATAGGACCTCTAATATGTGTTGACTTTACAAGACACATGCTTTAGCTTCCAAGGTAAGTTTTCTATGTGTGGACTACATAGTTAGCTTGTTCTTCAAACTATCAACATGTGTGGTACATGGCCAACTTGTTGACTACGTTTTTAATCTAAAA